GCTAGGCTCACAATAGAGTGAAGCTTGCAAGAGGAAACAACTTGGGCCTGTTTGAAAATTGTCCCACAGAGATGTAGGGCAGCAAAGACCTTAATCCTTGTATGATTCTGCCTTAAACCATGGGAAGAAATGGTCATGTGCCAGTGGTCTGTCTCCACTGTACTCTAGTTGTGGAATATACATCCTTTGGTAAGAGTTAGGGGTGTTTTATGAGCTTGATTTTTGGAGAAATGGTGTGGCAATTAAATTCCAGTGCTGCCCCTTATTAGCTTACCTTGGCCAGTCACCTAACCTCACCGTGTAATTTCTGTCACACACCAACCAGGGACAGTGATTCTTGGCTCAGCCCTTTTACAGGCTGTGATACCAAACCAATGGCCGGTGGCACTGAAACATTATGCATACAGTACTGCAGGGATGGAGAGATTTTGTCATTTCTCTTCCACCTCTCTTGTAAGAAAGACTAGCCTAAATTCCATAATTAGTGCCTACAGCAGCCACTGTTTACCCCTTGGGCTAAAACATGTTCCCTAGGCTTGCTGGCCCTCTGATCCTTGCACTCATCCCTCACTGGACTGGTCTGCAGACACTGCCTCAGTGCATATTAAGAAGGTGTAGGGCCTTGTCTAGCAAGGTGCAGAGCGCTCCCTTGATGTACAGCGAAGTGACTTAATGCTGGAATTTGGGACAGACAGAGACCAAAGTCTGTACCATGACCCGGAAAGCCCTCCATTTCTCTATCCATCTGACCTCTCGCCCTTCCTTTACTTGGTGGAAAGTTCTCTGCACCAAGAAAACATGAGGAGGGAGCCCTGGGTCAATGTGCACCTTCGATCTCACCATCAGTCTTGAATGGCAATGTTCTTTTCCCATTTAAGTTGATAAAAACTTGAAGTTCATGCCCTACCAATGTGTGTGCTCCCTAGCCTCCTCCAGACCCCAGCCTCTGCCCCTCATCTTTGTGGGTGCTGGATCGCCACCAGCTCAGCACCTCAAGCCTTCATTCTGAGAAATTCTGGCTCCGTTCCAGCTTTGGTTGAGCTCATCCAATCTATCAGTGCTGAAACTGATAAATCTAAGACTCTCATGTGTGGTTTGCTTTTACAAGCTCATGTCCTAGAACTGAATACCAAATACCAAATTCAGAGCTTCCAGATTTACAGGTAAGGACATAACACAATCACTGGGTGCCCATCCTCAGAATCCAGAGGATAATCCTACCCCTAAGATCCCCACCTCCTGAGCGGGACATGTTGTTTCTCAGGGTTTTGCCAGATTCTTGTGTTTTCTCCCTACTGCTAAGCTCAGCAGGAATGTAGCTAATATGTTGGGTGAGTAGTTAATAGTTGGATGAGGAATGTAGTTAATAGTTGGGTGAGCGTTAGTTAAGAAATAGTCAGAACTAGGAGATCTAGAGTGTTTTAAAAATTCCCCACCTTGCATTAAAGACAGAAAACTTTCAAGCCACATTTTTACTATGAAAGACAAACATGAACCAATTTTGCAAGGGTAGTCATCTCTCTGTTTTTAAATTAAGATGAGCACAGGAGTTACAACTGTGTTAATCGGGAAAACCGCATTTGAAGCACTTGAAAAGCAAAGGAGTAGTGGCAAGTACATCCTCCAATTGCCAAGCCATTTGGTTTGACTGGGCATTCACTATGTCTGCTGTTCTCAACTGAGACCACTAACAGGAGCATTTGCTGAGGGAACTGGAGCAGGACTTTGGTCCAGCAGAATTCCCAGATGCTACACGAAGATTCGGCTTGTTAGGATCTTCTGAAATCTCTAGGCAACCAGATCTGTCTTCTGCTTAGCTGAACACTTAGGCCTTTCTTTCCTCACTTTACAAGGAAAACAGACATACATGCATATACACATTAAATGACAGGCCTCTTCTGTTCAGCACAGGGCAGAGAAGCTAAGATCTTAGGACTGAGCCCCTTCCACTTCATTATCTTTTTGTTAAAATCCACAATCAGAGCTGCCCTCTGGCCACAGCCTGTAGAACTAAAACCCCTGAAGTTCTCCTGACCTCCATGTTCAGGGATTTGGTGAAGCCTCTTCCTCTATGTGAAAGACACTTATATGTTGCCTGGACTTTATCCATACCTCACCAGGACAGGCTACCCTTTAACAGCCCCCCTCTTTGTAAATATAGCAAGCTAAAGGCAGGAAGAGTAACGCACACAGAGAAGCCCTTCTGATTTGGTGAGTCATTCGTATCTCAGTGCTCCATCTTTCATTCTAGGCAGAATTTTAATCAGAGGTGGAACTTATTCACAGGGAAAGTCATCCCATTTCTCATCCACGCACCCACCTGCTGAGAAATAGTTAGGGTTCTCTCTGTCCAGCTCCTGGTGTTCTTCTAATCAGAGATGGAAAGCTTCGTTTTGTAATCATTACTTTCATTGATATGAATAGATCACAATGTTCCAGAAATGTCAAGTTCCTCTGCCTCTTGGGTACTAAGCTGACATAAATAAAGGACCCCAGTGAATCCTGGAAAACTAAGGGGCAGACTGCACAATAAATAGGAATCAGATAAGTTGTGAGAGTCATCCCTTATACTGATCACTCTTGCCTCTGAGACCCTTTCCCAGGGGATTGGACACTCTCAGACAGGTGCCAGGATCTCCGAGCATGTGAAATGTACAATGCAAGCAGTCTGTGATCTCCTTAGGCTAATGATATTCCAGAGAAATATGGCCAGTTGACAAGCAATTTATCAAAGCGTGGGGCCTTGTTTTGGTCTCAACTTGATACCCAAATTCAGGGTTGGTTGTTTCAAGAGTCCCCAAGTGACACAGAGTCCACTTGAACCAGAAAGGACTTTGAAGATCAAGTTGTCCCAGACCCTCATTTTTTCAGAGAAGTTTTGGGGCTTGTTCAAGTTCATGCAGCAAGACAGGATACCCAGCGTCCCTGGCTTTGTGCTTGGTATTCTTCTGCATCTTTAGGCCTGTCTGTGTTATCTCATAGCACCTAGAAAATCCTAGTGAATTGATCCATTTGTTTGTCTGTTTATTTTAGCTTTTGTTTTCTGTTTGATAAATTGTTTGGGGCAAACAACCAAAGCTGACTCTTACCAAGCAGAAACGGGCTCTACTGGGAGGGTATTAGTAACCCTTAAGATGCATAAAAAGCTAAAGAAATTGGCTAAGGAAAAAGACTGAAAAGAAAGGTAGTCTCACGGGGAAAGGATAACAGAAAATAACTGAGCTTCTGAAAGTGAGGCTGCTACAGAGGATGAGCCCTTTTTAAAATATTCTTCTGTATTTGCACTCCGAAACAGAAGTCTCCAGAGACATCAGTCTTCAGATCTGGTTAGTTTATTGTTGTTACAGTCTAAATAAACTCTGTTTGGGATTGTTCAGCTCAAGCATTCATAGATTGGACACCATTGAGGGAGGGTCCAGTGGGCCTACCTGGGGTCATATCCCTGGGAAGCATGCATGCTAGACAACCAAAACCAACAAACATCTGGTGCACAGATAATTGCGACTGTCCATCAGTGTTTTTGAACTCCTCTCCTTCCAACACAAGAGGAATACCCTTCCTAGTGCCTGGGAGTTAGAGCTACAAAGCTTGTCTAGTGAAACCCAAGTAGAAGTGATGTGGTTTGTTTTGAGGATGGAAGCACTTAAGATCTGGTGTGTTCTTTCCCATATCCTTTCCCCACCATGGGACTCTTGGGTCTGGTATTGATATGGCTGCAGCAGAAGGTGATGGAACTTGTGTCCTTCTGGGTCTCTAGGGGTGGTTATCAGCTGTTTCTTTGAGTTGTTACAACCAAAAGTATAACCTACATGATACTAACTGATGCGACCCCTCTACACAATACTCTATAGAACATTCAAGTGAAGGGAACCAAGTGACATCAGACATCACATAACTTGGGGACAAATCCACCTTGCTACTGAAAACACCACTAGGGGGACAAAAAGATGGGGTACCCTTTCATTTTACTCCAGTGCTGTCCAGATGAGAGTCTGCTGAATTTCATCTCATCAGTTTGAGATGCCCAGATGTAAAAGATCATCATTAGATAAGAAATGAATATACCTATGGTGGCAGGCACAAACCACTTCCTTTGGCACTAGGTTGCCTTTTAAACAGTAAACATTAGTATAAAGGAAGACTCGGTGATGTGTGTAAGATACATACACATCCCTATGCCTATATAGATGATTTTTATCTCAGAAGTCGTTTCTGACAAGGATAATGGATTTGACATAATGATAAACTCAAATTCAATATCCTGTAGAAGTCATTAAGACTTGATGTCCAGAAATGAAACATGCATGTGTTGATCAGTTTTCCATTACTGTAACAAATTCCTGAGATAAATCAACTCAATAAGAAAAAAGGTTTAGTTTGGCTCAAGTTTGGAGGCTTTAGTGCATGGTTATTGGCCACTGGTTAGGCAGGATGTGGTGGCAGAGAACACTTAGTGGAGGGAGCTGGTTACCTCATGGTGACCAGGAAGCAAAAAGAAAAAGGAAGAGATAGAAATCCCAAAATCCCCTTCAAGGCCAAGCCCCCAATCACCTAAAATCTCCTCTAGGCCTCCCCTCTTAAAGGTGCCACCCCCTCCCAATAGCACCAACTTGGGGATCAAGCTTTTAAAACATGAGCCTTAAACTATAGCAGTGAACATGTCCAAAAGTGCCCAACTAGAATTTGCTGGTTCCCCTAAAGGATGTCCTGGATAAGGTTAACAGCCCTCTGGTCCAAATCAGAAGTCCCAGTGAATTCCTTGGTACAGGGCATAGACACACTTAACTTGTTTTTGTCAAGGTTGAACAGTCAATGGGCCAACCACTGTAAGAGCCTCTCTCTCAGGTTCCTTTCACAATAAGGAGGACATTTCTGTGCTTGCTTCTTCCTGCTTGAGGATGCAGTGAGGATACCAAGTCAGGTACAGGAGAGACGGTTTTAAATAAGAACAGTCTGGTTGTGCATTGCTATATTATTTTTAATGCATTCCACAGTACCCTTTTAACATGCTTTTCTCCTAAACCAGTGAACTTTGAAAATTAAACAAAGTAATTTTTATCTTCTACTCCCAGTCAAACTCCGCAGGTCACCTTTAGGTTTGGTCTTTCTCCAGCATCCACAGAAACCTTTCGATGATAACTTTTTGATTTATGTTCTGTCTCCATTTGGCATTGAAAGTAGCTCTCCCTCACCAAATTCTGTGCTCTCTGATTGGGTCTAAACTGCATCCAAACTAAAGCAGCACAATCATATAAGCATAGAAGGAAAGTCAAGCTTTGCAGCACCTGAACCTCAGTTGTGTGGGAGATGAGGGCTGAATTTGGATGACTTCAGGTGGAGGTTAGCAGCTGAGGAGGCTGTTGAGGTAGTGGATTACTAAGTCAGATGGACAAAATAGTAATGGATCTGAGTTAACCCAGGTACGAAGGAATAAGCCAGGAAAAAACATCGTGTGTCTGAAAGATAGCAGAACCGGATAAACACAATCAGGACAGTCATCTGAAGCCTAGAGCTAAAACCTACAATAATCTGGTACATGAAACATTTCTGATTCAAAGAGCAATTGTTTCACACCGCCCACACATGCATGCTCACAAGCATCGATGTACACATTTTATGTTAATCTTTCATCTCTGGAGACAGGATATTATCAAATCTAACACTCTTGAATATAACATAAGAGCATGACAAGTCATCTTATAGACTGGTAAGAGAACTAGCAACATGCGCTCCACATGGCATAAATGCCAGCTCTAAACTGGGAGCTGAATTGTTTTCATCTAGGGCTGTTTACTTCTGAGAATTCAGAGTGGGCACTGAACATTGTGCCTGGCACGTAAGCATTTCAGATAGATGAGCTGCTACTGTTATTATAAGGCCATTTAATACTCAGCAAGACCTGGCGAGGTAGATATTACGGCTCTTAAGCCACGAGGAGACTGAGGCCCAGAAGTTAATTCATTTGCATCAAAATCACACAGTGGAAGAACAAAAATGGGAGTCCAAGTCTCTTTCTAACTCCAGTCTAGCTTCTTACTCACCACCTTTGTCTGCTGCTCTTGAGGCCCTGTGTAGTGTCTTCATTTATGCACAGAGCATCATTGATCTTTGTAAACAAGAAAAAGGCACTATGCACACTGCCCCCAATTTGTCGTTTTGGTTTGCCACCCGAGCATGGGTAAGGACAACTTCATAGAGTGGGAACTGCCACATCCCAAAGACCCTTAAGATGGAATACATCACCTTCATTCTGTTGTTTTCTTAACCTCATTTCTGCTTAAAAATAAATTGATTTAGAAATTTGCACAGTTCCTCTCTGGACCATACTTTATGAAGCAGAACAGTCATATAAATGTTCCATCATCCAGAGCTAGAAAAAAACCAGAAGAACCATGCACAAAGCATGCGCAAACCACACCCCGAGTGCCACTGTCCTCCACTGCCTAACAGGGTGGAAGGTCACACACTGCAGAAAGCCACCAGGGTGCCACCAGCTCTGCTTCCATTGCCTGCACCAGCACGGGCATCTCCTGATCCAGAGGCACAAAGGCAGAGGCTGGAGTGAAGCTGCATGCCTCAAAAGCACAAGCAGCCATTTATTTCTGCAGAAAGAGACACTGTGTACCCAGATGTTGTCACGTGAACAATCCACCTGTAACATTTGCCACGTGAACAATCTACCTGTAACCTTGGCAGCTGCCAGTCTCTCCTCTTCATGTTGTGGTTTGTAAATTGGGGTCCCTACCCTGTCTTGATGTCCTATTTATATCTCTATATATCTATATCTATGTCTATCTATCTATCTATCTATCTATCTATCTATCTATCTATCTAATTCTCATGAAAACTTTGTCTGTATCTTGTTTGTTTTTTATCTTGTTTTCCAATTCCCTCTGCTAAACTGTGAGGTTGTTGGTGCAAGTCTACATCAGTCTTGTTACCATGAAATCCTCAGCACATGCCCAGTGCCTGATCTGTGCCTCCAACTACATGTTGGTCTTTAGATGAACGCTTCCATCTAGTGCAACATGCCATCACTACGAGCTGTGTGCCTGGCTCCTGACAGAGGCTTCTAACTTGACTTTTACCTGTGCTTGTTGGCTTGGGCTTTGAAAATCCAGTGCTCAAAATATATGGTGAATGTTTAAATGTAAAACATTTACTACAATAAAAGACACATTGCCATGAATTCCCCTCAAGATACCCACTTCACTTTGAATGCACTAGTCCCATCTTTCTACCACTTTCTGAAGCAATTCTGGAAGTTCTCTTTTGTGAGGGTCTTTAATTGCACTACTATGGCTACCTGAATTGGTTCAAAATGTCTGTGACTACTTCTGTGAAGTCAAAACATAATAGTGTTTCCTCTTCTACCTCATTCACCAGATCTGGCACCATGCAATCTCTGGCTCTACCCTGAAGTGAAAATGACAGTGAAAGGTACACATTTTGAATCGGTTCATGCCACTGAGATAGCCACAACAGTGCAATTAATGACACTCACGAAAGAGGACTTCCAGAAGTGCCTCAGAAAGTGTCAAGAAGGATGGGATCAGTGTGTTTGAAGTTATGGGGAGGATTTTGAGGGGAATTAATGGCAACATGTCTTTTACTGTAATAATTTTTTTAAAATTTTAAGCATTCACCATATTTTTCAATCACACAGTGCCTGAATCCTGGATCCCATAAACATGTCCTCACACTGTCCAAGACTCGGGATTTGTGTCTGAACTCCTCCTCACTGCCTGTTGCTTTGTAGCCCCAGAAATATATTATCTACCTGTGAACTTTGCACTTTCCCAAGCCTGAAAATTGGACAGGTTTGTGCAGTTGCTGCCAGATTCCACCGGATAAAGTGTTTAATTAGTAATGACCAGAACATTCCAGAGAGGAGAGGTGGCACCAATTACAGTCTCCTCAAAGTGTTTGAGAGTAGCCATGTGATAGCACTGAACATTAGAGTCTGTTGTGTTTTGCCAAGTAGGTTTTTCAAAAGTAGATTCATATTTAAATTTATCGTTTAAAAAAAATAACCATAGCTATTTGCATTTTCTTTTCCTGTGACTTTCAATTTTTTAAACTGATCTCTAAAGGCTTTCAGCCTCAGGATGTTAAATGTTGGCTTGTCACAGTCATAGAAAATACTTTGCAAGTCTCCCACTGTCTTTTAGCTTTATTTCTCATGATTGTTGGTATACCAACATTTTAAAATTTTAAAGTAGACAACATACAATTTTTAGTTTATTTACTCCATTGTTTTTATGATTTAAAAATCTTCCCCTGTGTAGTGGTCAGTTACCTATCTTTCCAATTTTATGGTTTATACTTTGTTTAGTAACATTAAACTCTTCAGTCTTTGTATAACTCATTTTTATGTGATGAGTATTTTCTTTAATATAATGAAGATTATACTTGATTTTCTCCCCAGAGAACCAAATATCCTAAATGTGTCTTATACATATGTGGATATATTCTATGCCATGGATTCAAATGTTGATGATTTTGCCATTGCCATATTATCTTTATTATTCCAAAATAATAGCACATGGCCCTCCCATATCTGAGATTTTTTCTTTTCATAATTTCAGTGACTCCCAAACAACTGTGGTGCAAACATATTTGTCTTGACTCTCTGTGCTATACACTTTGATAGCTGGAGATTGGCCCTCCCACATTATCCTTCTGTTTATTTATTCATATGAACTTCATTCATATGAACTTCAGAGTGTTTTTTTTTCAATTCCAAAATAAATATCACTGAGATGTTTATTAAATTACTTTTAGGACCTTTAAGACACAGGCTCTTGCAATTCAGGAACACAGAATGGCTCTCTAAATATTTATTTTGTCTTTACAAATTTCAGTAGAGACTTGCACTGTTTTCCATAAGAGCCCATACATTTCTTGTTAGCCTTACTTCTTGACATTTTATAAAAGGTATGGCACTGGGGCTGTTAGGGCAAATGATTTCCTTTTGGGAAGTTGTGTGTTTGTTGTGAATGGAATTTCTTTCTTTATGTTTTAGTATTGGCTGTAGAGAAGCCACTGGGTTTTGCTGCGTTTTACCGATTTCATTGAACTGTAGTTGTTTAGGTTTTATAGACATATGATTACACAGGGTTCTGTAATTACAACTTAGTCTTCTGATTTCTGATAGGGCCCACACATCTGGAATAAATTTCTATGCACATAATCACTTCCTAATCACAAGAAAGCCGTCTTGCTCATTGTCTTCTTGCTTTTGCAGTTACTGAAGTAACTGCTGTCTGAATATCACTCCTTTGTGGGCTGTCAACTGTCGGTCTCTCTGCTGCTTCCTAGGGGATAATTTTTAAATTTTTCTTTGGGTTGCTTTTGGAGTTTTTCCATTTCTTCAGCTTTGCTCTGCTGTGTCTAGCTGTGGGTTTCTTTTTATGCATCTTCCCCGGACTTTACAGGACTTCTTCAAGCCACAGGTTGTGTATTTTGGCCTTTAAATCCTCACACGCTACCTTTGCCACTTTCTCTCCTCTCCTTCTAGAATTCTGTCCTTTCTCACTGTAACCTCTGTGTCTCTTACATTCTTTCTGTTTTGTTCAAGAATATTCTTGCCGACCTACATGTCAGTTCCTAATTCCTTTTCTTAGCTGTGTCTAATCTTCTGTTAAACCTATCCTCTGGATTTGTAATTTTTAGTTATTATGTTCTTCAGTTCTATTATTTCTATTTTTGTAAATTTGCAATGTCTGTGTTCCTTTTCATAGTTCCAATTATCAAAATTTTCAAGCTTGTTTTTTCTTTCTCCATGAACATTGTTGGCCACATTGTTTGATGGTCTGTATCTGATAGCTTCAATAGTGAAATTCCCAGGGCCAGGGAAATAGCTCAGCAGCACAAGTGCCTGCCTGGCAAATGCTAGGTCCTGAGTTTGATTCCTGGTACCAAAAAAAAAAAAGAAAAGAAAAAACTAAAAATAAGTAAATGAATACTGAAATTCCCTCCAGGTCTGCTTACGTTTTGTGTTATTTCTGCTGATTCTGATTCATAGCGTGTTTTCTCTTCCTGTGCCACAGTACTGTTTGCTGAACACTGAATTAGAACATAACTATCTTAGTCCATTGCAATCACAATAACAGAGAATGGGCAATTTCTGAAGGAAAAAAGACTTATTTAGCTCCTGGTTCTATGGGTCCAAGAGCATGTGACAATATTTGCTTGGCTTCTGGTGAGCATCTCTTGCTATTCTATGCATTTGAGAAAAGTCACAGGGAAGCAGGAGCTCGTAGATGAGAGGCCCATATGCACAAGCAGTGGAGGGGAGGCTGCACCACTTTGTGAAAACCCACTCTTGTAATAACTGATGCACTCCTGATGCACTCTTGGAAGGCCTACTCCAGGCTTGAATGGTGATGGTTCCCCTGTAATGTAACCACCTCCTGCTAGGCCCCACCTCTTTTCTGTTTCTCTCAATTTACTTATTTTATTAGTACAGTGGTACTTTGCTTCTTATTGTACGTAAATTTCATAGGTCTATACTTAACTCTCTGAGTATTCAGTTACACTCCTGTGACCATGACTTTGTGTGAGAGCAGGAGGTCAGGATGGACTTGTTTTTGCAGCTTGAACCTTGCCCAGGAGCTCATGTTTCCCAACAGACAAGATACGTGGCAGGTCCTCCATTCTTACCTGCCCTTTGGGTGCGGATGCACTCACCCTGATTTCTCCCCACCTGGATGATGAAATCATTTTAGGGCTGCTTGAAGATTTCCAGGGGTGTTCGTTTTATTTTTAGCAAATGGTCATTCAGTTAGGTTCTACTGGACTGAGATGGGATCTTCCCATGGCCTTACTTGCTGGCTTCCTGAGCCATGGAAAAGGAAACTAGAGGGAAAATATCTATTTCAGCACCTTCCTTTCACTACTTTGCATACACACACAGTTCTGCAGGTGAGGATCCTGTTCCTAGAAAATTCGACAGCCCTCTTCTACCTAGAGCAGAATGCTGTTGGAAATTTGCAGGCTCAGCACGGACTGAAAAATTGGCCAGGGTAGGAGTGGAGGTGGGGACAGCTAACAGCTCCTTGGATGATCTCCAAGCAGAGGGCATGCCTTGCTGTGCTGAGGGTCAGTGCATGGCTCCCGTGGTCTCAGGGGAGGCAGAGACTTCTCCAAAGCCCTTTCCTCCTGCCTCCTTTCCTTGGACATTCTAGAGGTGGAAGCTTAATGGATATGTGGAAGGCCTTCTCTAATGCTTGTTGATCCGCCACCTTGGACCTTTGGTTATGAATTCCTTCAAGACTGAGGTCTGATTTCAGTGTTTCTTGTTTTCTGTTCTTTCATGTGTATTTCAGTGGGAATTTGAGATCTGTTTCATCAAGACTTATAAGCACAGTTCCATTTTAACCTGCTCAGCTATTTCCTTTTTTATTATTATTATTTTGGAAAACTAATCTTTTATTAAACATTAGGAAGTGCTGAACTGGCAAGAGAGAAAAAGTTTTCTAGGAACATGCTGAATTAATAAAGCAAGATGATGTTTTTTGACAAATCGGCCCTCAAGTGTCAAACTTACATAGTCCCAGATTCTCAGATATTCACATTGTGTGTGAGGCTTAGTGTCCTATAAAGAAAAATGAGTGACATTATCAATCAAGTCACATCCTTCCTCACTTCTGTGTAACAACTCTAAATGAATGGACTGTTTAAAAAAAAAACTTAAGTGTATATGATTGAAATTGAAAGATAATTGTGTGTGTCCCTTTCAGAATATTTCATGCCCTTTGTAGAACTGGACTGGCCTCTGAGACACAGCAGGCCTTATATAGGGCAGCCTATTCCTATTTTAGATGGCTTACAGAGTTCATTATTTTCAGGAAATAAGCACATTGAACTATTTTTATGGTCAGTGTGGTTCCAAGTTTATTAAATGAAATTTGTAGTATCTCTCTGGCTAGTTTAGACCCTAAGGTAATGATGCTGTAGAACTATTTAGTAGAACTATTTAGATATTGCATTGTCCTCAGCTGGTGTCCGGTGTGAACTGTGTTGGTTGTTTGGATGCATTGAACTCAGTCATCGCAGATCTGGGAGGTCTGATTTTTCTTCTCACATCTCTTTCTTTAAAGGCCATATTGTTTTCCTTTACATTATGTTTGTCATTCTTCCACAACTCTTAGAATTTTGTTGACCACCTGTCATGAGTGATAGTTATAACAGAATTTGGGCCCCATGGTAGGTCATTGGAAATCTTACCCGTAAGTGGGGGAAATTAGGCCAGCCTAAGCTGTAATGAGGGAGCATCGCCACCCAAACCAGAAACAAAACAAGTCATTTGTTAACTGAATGAAAAATCATAATCACCCTGCTTAACATTTTCTGAAAGCTGTAGGCAATTCAATGAGATCAAAACAAGAGAACAATTAAAATGAGATAAAATTGTCAAGAGAATTACTGAAAATAATACTAGGATGAAGAACAGAATTCAATGGAGATAAATACAGTGTAAATATTACTGAATCAGTTTTTTATATATAGCAATAATCAGACAGAAAAATGGAAAGAGATTTCACTCCTAATAACAGCAAAAATTTAAAGCACACGGGAATAAGCTTAATAGGAAATGTGCAGGATTGAGAGATGGGTTCCTGCTTAATTGTAGAAGTCTCCTCTAGTATGTGTAAAGCCCTGGCTTCAGTTCTCAGCAGAAGAAAGAAAAAAAGGAAGGGAAGAGAAGAAAAGAGAAAGGGAAAGGGAGGCAGGGAGGAATGTAGGAAGGGAAAGGATGGAGAACAAAGCTCTCAGAAGACAAATAAATATATAGGTTTCTCTTTTCTTCTCATTAATGTGTAGCGCAATGTGTAGCTTAATGTGTTTTGAACCAGAATTCTAATGAAACTTTTATTGAAATGACAGGCATATCCTAATTCCTTCTGGAATAAGGAATAAAAACTTGAGAATATGAAGAGGAAAAAATGTTGTCAAGGAACGATGGGAAAAATGATTTAGACTTGGTCAATGAGATAGTAAGATAATCCTGTAGAATAACGCTACGGTATGAAGTCAGCAGAACCAAGGGTTAGGGTAGAAATAAACCCCTGTAAAAATAATGGCCTTGGGTATGACTAAGGAAGCACCATAAATCAACAAGGTTACTCCACTAGCAGGGCTCTGGGCTATCACTGGGGACCTTCGGTACTAGATCGCATCCAGAACCCAGTGTCAGTATCTCTGGGAGTTTGAATCCTTTGACAGAATACAAGAGACCAGTTTTGCCAAGGTTGACAAATGTTGGGAGATTTTATCAGCTCTTGATATCTTCCTGGGTGGTGCATTGGGAAACCATGCAAGCACTCACAGCTACTCCAGGCTGACCTGTGGGATAGTAATATTTCTTCAGCCTTTCCTGCCCCTCTCTTCCCCAAGGGGCCAAATCTTGAAATGAGAAAGAATGAAAAGAGGCTCAGAAAGAAGCCTTAGTGGTTCATCTCAGAGCATTTTGTTTTTGACATTTGAGTGAAAACCCCAGACTTCCCAGAAACATCATATTTCAATTAGTTTGTACTGTTCAGGTTGAAAGAGGGTTTGCCAGCTTCAATAGTATTGATGTTGGGGGCCAAGAATTCTTTGCAGTGGGTTCTGTTTAACACCAGCCCTGACCTCTTGTCACTACATCCCAGTAGCACCCCTTCCTCAAATTGTGACAACGAAAGAGTGAGAAGATCCCCAAATTGAAAACTACTGGTCTAACATTATTTATGGAGAAAATATGGGCTGTAACAATGATATTCTGATGTCATGAACTAGGAAAAGAAAAAGGTTATTAGACAGAGAGGCTTGCTGGTTTTTTAGGGAAGTGTCAGAGCCCCTTAAGTTGCGATTTGCCTGGGTGCATTGCATCCTAATTATTTTAAGTTTTCTAAAAGCTATGAGTTGGGGACCAAAAATAAGTGTGGTCCTCACCTCATTTCTATGCACCAAAAGAAATTACCAATGTATTGGAGAAGCAACTTGTTCAGTCTCATGCTGTAGCAAAAGTAAAACGAAATAGAATCCTTTTCAGGCTTCTGGAGGAGGAGGGCTTTCTAAGCCTGTGTCAGACTTCTTCCAGCACAAATAACACTGAAAAACAAGCCACCAACCGGGGAGAGTATCTGCAGCAATTATGACAGAGAAGTTTGGATCATTTCCTGAGAAAAAATTTGAGATAATAATAGTTAAATGAGGAAAAAGCAAAATCCAGGAATAGAAGATGAATGAAATCAGAAAAAAAAAAATAGGTGCTTCATAAGCATTTGAAAAACTATCCATCAGATCTCACTAATAATCAGAGAAGTGTGAGTTAATACAATATACAGTGTCTAACTATCAAATCAGCAAAGATTAAATAGCAGTGAAGACGCCCATTATGTCTAAGGTCCTGTGTATTTCAGTAAATGTTTACATATTGCACATTTATGTGGCAGACACCAAGCAGGAAACTCTGGATACCAAGATAAACAACATCTGGTCTCCTCCCTTGAATTTCTAGTCCAGTGATGGTGAACCTTGTAGAGCTTTCAATGATAGGAATTAGCCCACTGTGGCATGTGTGCCATAGGTTTGCCACCATTGTATTCAATCAATTTAGTTTGTCAAACATGTGTATACTATGTATTACATGTCAGGAAGGCACTTCATAAATGCTGATAGTTTTAGGGCTGTGCCCCTCCACCCTTTTTTCTGTCTTCTTCCTTCACCTTGTTGCCTAGGAGGCTCCTGTTTACAAACTTGCTAGTGACTGACCTCTCCCCAAAATAAGGGACTCCCTATTCTTCCCAGCCGGTGCCACCTGACTCTATCTGTGGACACTCTGTGGAGACTCTCTCTGAGGAGACCCTGTCTTCACTGACATCTCCTTGTTTGAGATCAATACTAGACCTTCTTTATAGGAAAACTCAAAGCCTACTTCTCTTTCTTTCCCTTTAGCTGTTTTTTTTTTTTTTTTTAACAGTCTTGAGGATTGAACCTAGGACCTTTGAACTGAGCTACAGCCTCGGCCTTTTTATAAAATTCATTGTTATTTTGAGACAGGGTCTAAGTCACTAAATTGCCCACGCTAGGTTTAAATCTGCAATCCTCTTGCCTCAGTCTCCCAGAGTGCTATATGTACTGTCTTTGTAAATCTCCCTCTTTTCTTTAAATAACAGTTTTATTGAGATATAATGTATATACCAAGCATTTCTTCCATTTAAAGTGCACAATTTGGCGGTTCTTAGTATATCTGCATTATGTAACCATCACTACAGTCTGTTATTGGAAAGTTTTCACCATCCCCTGCTGTGGTTTGCATGTAGTTTTAAGTGCGTCCCACAAAGGTTCTTGTGTTGGAAGACTGGTCTTCAGTCTAATGATGTTAAGAGGTCAGGGGTCCTTTAAGAGATGGGTTCTTAGTCACTTAGTCACCTTCCCCTAGAAAGGATTCCTACAGCTCCTGAGGGACCCTAGTTGGTCCCATCTCACTCTCTGGCTTCCTGTCTCACCATGTAACAGCTTCCTTTTGCATTGGTCCCTGCTGTGACACCATCTATTATAATGTGACACAACCAAGGGACCCTCACTAGAGCCAGCGCCATGCTGCGTGGACTTTCAGCCTCCATAAGTATGAAATGAACAAAGACATTTTCTTTATACAGCACTCAGTCTCACACTAAAACAGAAAACAGACAAATATACTCCTTCATAAATAAACCCGCCCCCATTGCAGACCTTTGGTTTTGTTTGGTTGTTTTTGCTGTACTGGAAACTGAACCCAGGACTGTTGCACTGAGCTACATCCCAGCCCTTTTATTGTTTTTTATTTTGAGACAGGGTCTCACTCAATTTCCCAGGTTGGGCCCAAACTTACAATCCTCCTGCCTCAGCCTTCCAGGGTACACAGTCCTGCCCAGCTATTCTTTTGAATTTTAAAATGCTTTCCCCTTATAGTTATCCTATATTGTTTGACTCTTCTTTTTTGGTCTTTTCTACTTCCAGTGCCTTAAATATTTCTGTTGTCCAGACCCACTCCCTAGCCCTTTTCTCATATTTCTAACTACTAAACTCAAGCAGGTCTTATGGAGACCTGTGGTCCCATCCTGGACTTTTATGACCTCGTGGCTCTATCTCTAACCCCAGAACTCAATCCCATGCTTCTCTTGCTCCTTCCTAGTGCACATACCCACCCGGCTGACCTGCAGCTCCATTTAACTCCACAGGTCCTAAGTTGAGTAGATCACTCCCTCAAGCCTACCTGTCCATTCTGCCATTGGATGTGCCCTTCCTCCTATGCAACACATTTCTCAGATACCTGTATGTATTGCATACCTCTATATTCATATAGGTAGCATCATACCCTGTGTCACTGCAAGGTTGCCTCACCACCTTGTGCTCCTCCTTGCCCCTTGGCCCCACCCCCGTCCATCATCCATCTCCCACTCCTCAGGTTGTGCTGACCCTGTAATGCTAGGCACACCTCACCTCCGTCCCCTTCCTTACTGCACTGTGACCGCCTCAGTTCACATATTTGTTACCTCTTGCTTTAACTCTCCCAGAGACCCCTCCCTGGCCTCCCTCCCTCCAGACGTCCTAAGAGAGCTCTTTCCCCAAACCACGGGCATAGTCCTGGATTTGCTGGAGCATCAGAAGCACACGTCCAGGGCACTCAGCACACAAACGTACCACAAAAGGTCCCTGGTGTGCTCCAAACACTCTGGCCTTTTTACAACTTTGTAAATTGGACACACAATTTAGAATTCCCCATTACAAATTTTCAAAATCTCATTCAGCCTACTGCATGACCAAGCCACTTCACGGCAGTAGACACTCTCCCCTGAGCTCCCCGGCACTTGCTATCTGGTGCCAAGTCAGCACATCCACCTTGCTGTGGCTTCGTTGCACCTCTCCACCCTCCAGGAGAATGTGAATTCATCAAGAGCAAAGCAAACACGTTTTCTCAGTCCTCTGGGATCCTTGGTGCCCGTGCCACCCCCACAAGGCATGTGCTGACTGCTTGTTGACTGGCTGCATGAATGAATGAACACAGGAAGTTTTACCTAGATTTGCAACACGTGCTACTCCGACACAGTAGTGGCTGAAATGTTAGACCCAGAAGGGACAAACAGCCTCAGCCACAATCCCTTCCAGGGCGCCTCAGGCCGCATACTGCACTTGGGCTGCTGTGACTTTCAGTTGTCATGTGGGCCCAGCTGGATTTAATAATGAAGCTTTTTCCAGAAGACATTCACCACACGGGGCAAGGACTTTGTAGGTCACTGAGATGATGAATCACTCCTTTCAAAGCAAAGAAACTTGCTACTTCCTTCTGGATTTGTGTTAGAATTGTGTCACCCTGTTGCTGAGGATGTGGGACTCACCCTGAGCTTTTCTGAACTGCCTATTTCTCTGGACCCCCCACCCCCACCCCCACTGACTTCTTTGCCTCATAGAACCATGGATACATAGTTTGCTGGAATGAATCAACTCAGCTCCTTCTCCTGGCAGGCGAAATGGTCCTGAGCCTGTAACTATGGAAATAAGTTTGTTACTTTTGTGGTTCCTTCCTGGTTTTCAGGCTGTAAGGCAATGTTTGCAATGCTCCCGTGAATCTTTCCCCAAAGAAGAGAAAGGATAAAAATAGAACTATAGGGGTGGAGAGCCAAGGATGCGTGATAGTCAAAAACATTTGGCAAATTTCTTTGCTCTGGGTCAGCGAACCTCACTCCTGTTTATTTGTTTTGTTTATAGTCTATGTGCTAAGCTCAGCAGTTCTCCACTTTTGCTCATTCTGTCCTGACGAAGTCATTTTCCAATAGAAAGACAAGATTATTTTAAAAAAGTGATTGTCACCAACACCCACCGGCACCACCACCAAGAAACTGATCTGAGCCATGCTATGAGCATGGTGACTTCATGGCCACAGGGCCTGCTGCCCCTAGTCCCAGGGTCTGTGAGCCTTGTCCATTTCTGCATTTCATTGATTTTCATGGTAGCTGGTGGCATGGCAGGGTGGTGCTTTAGCCCTTTCCAGTGCCTTGGTGGAGGGAAAGGAATTAGAGAGCTCACACCTCCTCAGCTCTTGAACCTGCCCCAGAACTGCATGAGGAATCACTTGGCATCCAAGTGTACCCTGCTCAAAAGAAACTTACAGTTTAGAAACTTAAAATGCACCCAGGTTCTAAGCTCCTTTATGGTAGCTTCTCATTCCCTTTGCATCCTATGTTAACACAGGTTCGTTAATTATTTACACAGCCTCAAACACTTTTAAGGAACTATTTTGTGCCATATACTTTTCTAGACCCTGAGAATACAACAGGGAACAAACAAAGCAAATGTGTATGTGGGTATATAGCTACAGACATTTATGTCTACAGACTTACAAATGTCTCACCATTCTCACAGAATTTAGCATGGCAGAAGAAAAAGAAGATAATCAAACATACAAATGGATGTGTATAATAGGTCAATAGTAAGCACTGCAAAAAATAAAGTAGGCTAAGGGAATAAAGTATTGGGTAGGAAGAAGAAGGCCTCTGTGAAAGTTGGCAGTAATCTAAACACACTCAGTGGTATCCAGGATTGGCAAGATGGCAGTGTGGTTAAAGCCAAAGTACTGACATGGGAATTAGGAGACAAAGTTATAGGAAAGCAGTATAATAAGCAGAATAAAAGCACCTCAAAGATGTCCACATCCTGACCCTAGGTCCTGAGATTGCGTTGGCTTTCCTGGTAAAAGGGAATTTGCAAGTGGGATTAAAGTAAGGATCTTGAGATGGAGGACGTTCTCCAGAAATGACCATGTGGAATCGGTGTAATCAGAAGGATCTATATACCAAGAAAGCAGGAAAGTTAGAGAAATAAAAGAGGTAAGGTCAAAAGCAGAGGTTGGAGAGAGCAGAAGGAGCTACAGTGCTGGCTTCGAAGGCAGGAGAAGGCAATGGAGAGGTGAGGAAAACAGCCGACCTCAAGAAGCTGACAGAGACAAGGAAGTAGACTCTTCCCTAGAGCCTCTAGAAGGAATGCAGGCCTTGGACCCTTTGGAGTTGATTTCGAACCTCCAAAACTGGAAAAGAGTATGTCTGTGTTGCTTTAAGGCATGAGGTCTGTAGAAATTTGGGATCACAGTGCTAGGACACCAAGACATGGGCAAAATCATGGAGACCCTGAAAAATCCTTGTAGATAAAGATACTGAACTTTATCTCGAGTGTGAGTCAAAGCCCACAGGCATGTTCTGCACAAAGGAGAGCCATGGTATAGTCTTGGTGTTTATATCTTTACCTTGGCTCCTGTTCAGAGACAAGCTGTGTTCAGCAGAGGTAGACAATGAAGTGTGGAGACCAGCTAGGAAGACATGATAACGGGGCAGCGTGGGAAGAAGTAACAAGGGATAATTTTAAGGTAGGGACATCAAGACTTGCTCCTGAGCCAGATCTAATGAATTCAAGGCAAAAAGGAGCAAGGATAACTCCTAGCGAACAGCATAAGCATCTGCCATTAATGAAATGTGGAAGGCTGGGGGTAGATAGGGCAGTTTTATTGTTGGTTGTATTTTTTTTTCTATTTTTACAGAGGAAGAGAGTTTTAAGAATTATGCTTGGACTTGAGTTTGAGAAGGTCATTAGATGCCCAAGTGTACATGTAGAGTAAGTAGTTTTATACTCAAGTCTAGAATTCAGGGGGACAGTTGGGACTGGGAAAATAAATACAAGCATCATCAACATAGAACCAGGTAGGATCCTCTAAGCATAGCAAAAACAGAGAGATGGGGAGAGGGAGCAAAGAAAAGAAGAAGGGAAAGGAAGGGCAAGGAAGGGCAAGGAAGGGCAAGGAAGGGAAGGGAAGGGAAGGGAAGGGAAAGGAAGGGAAAGGAAGGGAAAGGAAGGGAAAGGAAAGGAAAGGAAGGGAAAGGAAGGGAAAGGAAGGGAAAGGAAGGGAAAGGAAGGGAAAGGAAGGGAAAGGAAGGGAAAGGAAGGGCAAGGAAGGGCAAGGAAGGGCAAGGAAGGGAAAGGAAGGGAAGGGAAGGGAAGGGAAGGGAAAGGAAGGGAAAGGAAGGGAAAGGAAGGGAAAGGAAGGGCAAGGAAGGGCAAGGAAGGGAAAGGAAGGGAAGGGAAGGGAAGGAAAGGAAAGGGAAGGGAAGGGAAGGAAAAGAGGCAAGCAGAGGGGAAGTGATCCTTGGGCCACCCTCCGCATTTAGAGGACAGTCTTGAGACATGCAGGCACAGACAAGCACAGCAGAGTGCACTCGAGAGTAATGATGAAGTAATTATATTCCTCCTGCGCTGGAACACAAGCTGGTAGAGGAAACAGAATCAATCCTAGGAGAATGCTAGAGAATGTAGAATTAGCACTGGGTCAGGTTAATTTCTTTCCTGGTCTCACCTTGTGTTGATGAGCTCAATTTAAAGATCAAAGTAATCAACCTTGTGCGATTGTTGGGAAATGTGAAAATCTCTCACCTCTGCATTTCATGGCTTTGACTCACCTACATGTCCGGAGCACAGATGGATGTAGCCACAGTGTGTTGTGCTCCAGAGTGGCTATTAATTCATTCAAATTCAGTGTCGCTCTGAGAGTCCCTCACCAGAGCGGCAAGAAGCCCTGTCTGAGCAGTGTTGGAGGAGTCCTCTCCATCCCTAGAGACCTGTGAGATTCAGGGTGGTACCTGTTGCACAGGCAGCTCCTCCAGGCTCTTCCGTAGCAGTCACTGTGGTTACCCTGTTGCCCTTGGCTACAGGGTGATGCTGGTAAGATTCCTCTCTTCTATCTCTTGGGCCCTGGTGTTCCTCAGAGCATCCTCCACATGTAGTCTGTGAACCTGGGAAAAGTCGGGTTCTCCTGGCAACTTTCCTGCCCTCACCCCTTCTGGGAGAGCAGCTTCAGGAGGGACTCGGTCGCTACAACTTCAGAAACCCCACAAGCCTTGCCCTTTCTCAGCCTCTGAAAGGAAACCTCTACTTCATGGGACAGTTCTGCCTTTCCACTGTAACAAGGGTCTCTCTCTTCTCCCCAAACAAGCCTTTGCCTCTCACACAAAATCTTTAGCAGGGAATGGGGGAAGTTAGCGCCAGATCATTCTGTTTAGGACCCTGGAATTCCACAGCTGTTAATGGCTCCCAAGATATGTTTTCCCCTATTCTGAGCACACAGCTAGCTTTCTTCTGGTTGAGAAAAAAAAAATCATATTTTTTTCTGGTTGCAATTCATTGAAGTATTTTATAATATAATTCTTAAATTGAACAAATGTGCTATTAAAATAAGGCAACTCTATCTTTTGTCTCCCAGCATCCTTTCACTTGATTCTTCCTCTGCTATCTGACAAAAACCTGGGCAGATTTTCCCAACCATTTTCACGCAACAAAGACGTTCTCTGCTACAGTCATTTGAAGTGTGTCAAGGTGGAAACTGCAAATTCAGTTAAAACCACCATTCCTCCTGGCCTGTCTCCCCTGCCCCAGGTTATGGGAGGGGCTCGGTTAATTTGTCCCTCTTTCTCCTCTTTCTCCTCCAGGTCCAGGGCTCTGGTTTCTGTATTATCAGGTATAACACTGGGGGGAAGGAACTGGCTGAGGGCCTTTCCTATTGGCTGGTGTCACGGTTTGGGGGATTTTTTTGCAAGGGGAAACAATATAATACAGGACACATATTTTATAAGATTATTTATAATAGTCACCCAAAGAATGATATACAAGAGAGTG